GGGAAAGGTGTGAAGAAAATGAGGGTGGGAGAGGTGGTATTTATAGGGTGAAAATGGCTGAACTTGGTGCCACATGTCACCATCTAGTGGCAAGACTTGGGGAGAAAGCAATGGCCAAGATTGTGCCACATCACCCATTTTCGCACAACACACTTCCGACTTCTAAAATCCGTAACTTTCACATACGACCTCCGTTTTTGACGTTCTTTATATCCACGCGTAGGTAAAAATAATATCTACAACTTTCATTTTGACTCCGTCGGCTAATTCTCGACCGATCTTAAATTTAACAGTACGAGGCGTTTAGACTGTTAAATGACCGCGAAGAATTCGTAACTCCTTCATACGGACTCCGTTTTCGTCTGTCTTTTTACCGTTGAGTTCCTATTAATGAGATCTTCAACTCTCATTTATTTCACGTAAGCCAAAAACCGCTCGAACTAAAATTCGAGTTTCGGGCTGTACACTGCTAAGCCGAATCTTAGAAAAATCATAACTTCCTCATACGAAGTCAGATTTGGGCGTTCTTTTTATCGACGCTCTTAGTTTAACATATTCTACGACTTTTGTTTAGATTGATAAGGCTAAAAAGTCTTCTATCGTAAATTCACTATTTACGTCTTCCGGTGCCGTGCCGGTTTTGCCGTAAAACTTCGGCGGGCCATAACTTCTTCGTTATAACTCGGATTTCGGCGTTCTTTATATGTACGAAAACCTTGTGACATATTCTAAAACTTGGTTAAGACTATTCATTATAAATAATCTTTTGTTGAAAAGTCATTTTTGACCCCTATTGCCTCTAAATTGACTAGCCCGGATCTGCGGGCGTTACACACTCAGTTTTCTTTGCATTACAGGTAATGGCACGAGAGCATAGGTTGGCTGACATAACGAGAGATTTTGGATTATAAGTCAGTAGTTATGAATAACTGTTGTAAGATCTACTTTGTTCTGTTTATGCTTTTGGTCTGTATTGAACATGACATCCCGAGATTTTGTTATATAATGAAAATACATTTCTTTAAAGAAATGCTTTGATAAATTCTTATCATATTTTTGTTTTGGGAACAAATTCCGCAAATGTTTTCTTTAAAAGATTACTCTGATTTTAAAAACAAAGCATAAACAAATCGGTCTTTTCTGGCCGTGAAATTGGGGATATCACAACCAACATTTGGAATAACTTGAGAAGTAGGATACTTGTACCAAAAATCGGCTAGCCCTCTTTGTATATGCACCAGTACCAATTTCATGAACTAGAGGGGTCCTTATATAGTGTGGCTTAATTAGAGTTACACAATGTAAACCCTAATGTGCATGACCTTCCATATTCTTCATGCTCCATGGGTTAAAACCTCGATGGAGTATCCATGGGTTTAACCCAACATGAAGAACTATGGATCATAAGCCCACATATATAAGAACGAATGATTTACATAATCAATCCTCATATATTTAATTAGTCTCTTTTGATCACAAAATTAATTCCAAATTAATTCTTGATCAATACTAATTAAATAATATGATTATGTATTAATATATTAGAACTTATAATATATTAACAAATCATAAGTATCCTTTTTCTCATTTGTCTATCCAATTGTTCTAATGTCATGCAACCCAAATGGACCAGGCTACTCTCGGGTCAAGTACATACCCATTATAGTTATGGACTTAGACATCTAATCCGATAGTCTCCTACTTGGATAAGTCTAATAACTATTAATGCAGGTACAACTCCAACCCGACTAGCAATTGTAGCTCTTAAAGAATAGATGTCGAATGTTGTGGGACCAGGTGTGAGACTGTTAGTCTCCGCATTGGATTTGGGATTTTATATCTCAGTTTATCGGAAGGTTATCGTGGAATCATAAGATTTTGGATCGTGCGAGTGCGAGTCTTTGGATTTTGGAATACGAGTCATTTTTTGGGTTGGCACAAAGAGTATAGACTCGCTTTGGGAGTTGTCTTTGTTTATATAGAAGGACTTATCATCAACAAGGTATAGTCAAGGATATTGTCTACCAAGGGTATCGGTTGGATAATTTAGGATCGAAAGGATGTCTTTCAGTTCAGCTTGCAGAGAGAGGATCTATTGACTGGGTTTCGCAGGTAGCATTGGAAGATCTCTATGAGTATGAGTAAGCCTCTATGATGGATCGGGGTTTGAGAGGAATTGGTCGGGTTTTCTGGTTGCCAGGAAGGTGGTAAGGGGTGATTTCAAGGACGAAATCTAATTTAAGTGGGGGGAGAGTTGTAACACCCTATTTCAAATCATTTCATAATTTTCCGGCCATGACCCGAAGATTGATTATCATAAGGCTTCGGTCCTTGGGGGAAAGAGAGATTTAGACCCCTTTGGATGTGAGTAATGTAGATTAGGTGATCTGAGAGTTCGATTGGTGCTTTGGAGACCAAGGGTATAATTGTAAAATGATAGTTCGGGCCTTTTAGGAAAATTGGATTTACGTTCGGAAAGTTTTAATGGAAATGAGAGTTGATATGGTTGTAGAGCTTCTCATTACCTTTCCATGGATATAAGGATCATCAAAATCTTAGTTGAAACGAAGAATATATGACCATTTGAAGTTAGGTCGGTTTTGGGGGCTTAGTCTAGTAGGCTGGGCGTACTAGGCATACCTGGAGTATGCTGGTGTGATAGGCATACCTGGTGTACGTCGGGCGTACGCGATGAGTGTCCAAACCCTATTTTCGTGGTTTAAGCCCTATTTAAGATCCTTAATTTCCCTAAACCCATTCCTCCACCTCTCCAACACCCTCCTTTGAAACCCTAACCCCATTTTGAGCCTTGTGAGCAAAAAGAAGGTGTTTTTAAGTGCTTTGGAATGTTCTTGATGCATCTTGTAGAAGAAGGAGTTCATTAGTGAAGCGTTGGTTCCATTAGAGCTTGTAAATCTAGACTTTGTTCACCTTTAATCTTTCTTCTAGAAGTATAAAGTTTGAATCTTGATGATGCATTTGATATATCTAGCTAGTTTTGGGTGTTATGAGCTTTTGGTCACTTTTGTGCATAAAGTTTAGATCTTGAACGTTTTTGACCTTATTATGGATAAAGTTGAAAACTTTATCCATCTAAACATCATATTGATTCAGATCTAGAAGCTTGAGACTTGGACTTAATGGATTAAGTTGGGAAAGATGCATTTTTGGTCCCTTTGAGACTTAAAGACTAGACATTGGTTGGTTAGACCATTCTAATGGATAAAGTAGGAAAGTTTATCCATTGTAGAGTTATTAGGAACCATAAAAATATCATCTTGATGGGTTTTGTTGAATCATGCTTAAGTTGATGTTCATATTGTGGGTTTAGATGGATAATAATGGGTTTTGGATCCCATTAAGTCATGCAAAGGAGTAAAGTTGGCGACTTTATGGATTAAGACCTTATTTAGAGGTTAAATTTGAGTTTGGATGTTTTGGTCTTAAGCATTAAGTTCTTAATATAAAGTTTTGGTCATCTAATGAGTAAGTTGTGCGTATGTATGCATACGCTCATCGTAATGCATGAAGTCCCCATCCTTGAGCTTTAGCGAGTTGTACCTTGTGATTCAGTGAGCCATACGTGGGGCGTACAAGTTGGGTACGCAATGCGTACTCGTGAGGTTTTCTTTTTTGCCTTTTGGGCCTTGGGTCTTTTGGAGTTTGGGCCATAGGTTATTGGATCAGTTATGAGAAGGATAAAATGGTCTTTTACCCATTGGAAGTATAGAATATGGTTTGGGACCTTAGATTTTGAGAAATTGTATTAAATTATTGATTAATGATATTTTGGTTATGTTCAGTGTGAGGATTCCGATAACAGCAACATGTGTATTCCGGTTGTCTCGGATTAAGGTGAGTCTACTCCCAGTGTTTAGTGGGTCAAATGTATCAATGTCAGCCCATGATTTGTGGTTATTGGTTTGCTAGTTGTCTGTATGATCTCGCATGTGTTATATGTATATCGGGCGGAGCCTGATTAGTATGTTTATGGGGCCTATCGCATGTTATTAACAGATGTGTTCCGGACGGGGCCTGATGGTTATGGGGCATTGCCCATTGTATGTTTGATATGTATGGTATGATGTATTTTGGAAACTCACTAAGTTTCGTGCTTACAGTTTTATGGTTATGGTTTGAGGTACTTACGGTTCGAAAGGGAAAGATCCGGCTTGATCGAAGCGCATCCACCCATGTTTTCGTACTTTATGATTTTGGGATGTAATTAGATAATTGTTTTTACTTGATATGTTTTTGAATGATTGAAAATAATAAATGATATTTAATGCGGTATCATGTGTAACGATGCGGCTTAAGCTTCATTTAAGTTGTATCTTGATTTATCATGACAATAAATAGAAGATGAAGAAGAAAGAGAGTGGAAAATGGATTTAATACACACGTATACAATTTCTTTAGTTTTGGCGATGAAATGCCGAAAAAGGCTTGTTTTCACAACATGTTGTCCGCTTTGCCGTCCACTTCCTGAAGTCTTATATTATGTGTACTTAATATCGAACACGTCCATCACTAATGAAAGATAAAATCAAATTAATAACTTACAAATAGTATTTTAAACTAACTGGCATATGTTGGCCTATCTACAGACACATATCCCATTAATGGGGTTTATTTACCAACATCCAACAAATTTTGTGTTTTTTTTCGAAAATAAAAGTAACGATTTATATTAATACAAAGTAAACAGCAGTTAGTTTGAGAAAATCCAAACTCAATCTCAATCAAACCTTTTCAGATTTGGTTGGTTGTTGATTAACGTCCCTCCCACCTAGATTCGTGGTTAAAAATAAAAAGGGAAAAGGGATTTTTGCAACATATTTCTAAAATTAGAAACTGAACCACCATTCCCGCCTTTTCCTCTCGACCTCCTCCTTCCCTGTCAAAAACCCAACCCCTCCTACTTCTCATTCCAGTCCGACGATCTCAATTATCGCCACAATTTCATAGTTTCAGTTTTCCTAAAAAAGAAAAAAAAAAAAATGGCAAATTACGCCGCCTTCATGACCCTATCTCTCTTCACCATTATATTAATGTCCATAGCCGATCCCGTGGCTTCTAGGGGCAACAACGCCGGTTCCGCCGGATCATCATCATCAGGAGAAGCGTTTGTGGTGCAAGGCAAAGTTTATTGCGATCCTTGCCGGATTCAATTCCCGACGAAAATCAGCTACCCTATTCCCAACGCAAAGGTGGTCCTGGTGTGCCGGGCTCGTGAACAATCAGGTGAATCGTATAACGTTGAGGGAACAAGCGATGCCAGCGGCATGTACAGCATCACCGCCACCGGTGACCACGAGGAGGAGATCTGTGACGTTCATGTTACGGAAAGCCCTGACAGTAAATGCCCGGAGGTGATGGACGACGAGAGAAGCGCTAGGGTTTCATTGACGGATAAAAACGGAGTTAGAGGCAACATTCGCCCGGCGAATCCGATTGGATTCATGGTGAAGGAAGTTGATCCTCGCTGCAAGGAGATCCTCGCCGAGATCGGTATCATCGGACTTTAAGTTATCTCGATTCTAAATTTTAAATTACTTGTTGCTTTTACTGAAATTTTATTATAATTTTTTTTTCTTGAGGAAAGTTATTTGTAAATTCTCAAATTAATTAATAGAAATTTTTATGTTCTCCAATTACTTAAATACAATAATAGATTTCAAAACTGGCCAGTTTTCCAAAATTTGAACTCAGTCGTACATATTTACCAAATGCCAAATACATACATGTAATGTTTTACAACATTAGGGAGGCATGTGAAAATTCAGCAAATCGAACAACACACATTGAATCCAAAACAAGGGAAAAAGATAAAGAGTATTTGAACAAAGAAAAAAAAGTAACAAACTTGAACAAAATTGATAATTTTTGTAATCTGATAAAATAAGTATTAAGTATCAAGTATTAAGTAGTAGGCGGGGAGATAAAAATGAATAATTAATATTTTATGGAGGATTTGGGTTTGGGTTGGGTTTTTTGGCATATGAGATTTCCATGAGAAATTGGTGTGCAGAAGAGCCAATTTTGGCTGTAATGATGTCTGGATGGGCTTGCAGCCACAGGTCCATCAGATTCCGTAGCTGCAGTGTCGGCACCACCCGCTCCCCCATGCATCGAAGCTCAACCTACGTATAAAAATAAAATATATCAATTTACATTCTTATTTCTTATGTATAAAAATATAACATATAAATTAAATACCTCATGTTCGCTTGGAAGTTCCAGTTTGTTCATCACCAGTTTTTGGATAATTGAAACAGGTACATTCCCATCACTGTACAATCAGTATATTCATATTCATATTCATATTCATATTAATCCACACAATCACTTGTAAATTTGTAATCAAAACTCACTCACTTTAATTTCACATATCGTCCTTCTATCTGCCTCAACGGCTCCCCTTCCCTGTAAGCCAACCATTACAAAACCCAAAATTAACATCAACTCTGAGAGAGATTCAGAGAGAGAGAGAGAGAGAGAGAGAGAGAGAGAGAGAGAGAGAGTCCTGACTGTTGTTGAAATGGCACCAACTGGAACCAAATAGGATATGGTCTTTTAGTTTTCTCCCTAATAGCAATACTACTATCCACCACAGGAGAATCAGCTGACTTGTTTTTGCGATTCCTACGCATCTTTATAATAGGAGGTGTTGGTGTTACAACTTCAGTAGCAGTGACTTTATCTTTATCATCATCTTCAACTTTATTACTTAACTCATCTTTCCCTTTGGCTTTTCGTTGCACATGTCCTCCTTCGCTTTTTATAACACAAGCTTCAGATTTCACAACAGCAGAAGTAAGTTTGGATGATTTACTCCTATTTGCTGCTTCCACAAGGTCATTTAATGGCTTCCAGTCCCACGCTTCACCTTCACCCTCTTCTCTTTCATCATGGTTACCAGTTGAACAATTCTTCTGCTGCATAATTCATTTCTATCTCTCATTAACAAAATACAGTATAGGAGTATTGTTATATGTTGTTAAATTGTTTAGCTATACCTGCTTTGAGTTGTAATTGTGGGTGATCTTGTTTGAAGTTTCATGTGAAGTGGAACTTTCTTCCATGGAGATGGAGTCTTGTTGTTGTTCTTGTTGTTTCTTGAGGAGGGGTTTCTCAATGGAGAAACTGGAGCCACGTGATTTCTTCCTTGGGGTTACTTTTGACCTTTTGCCAGTCATTGTGATTGTGGTTTTGGTTGGTGTTTGTGGTGAGGGTGAGACTCTTGGAGCAGTGACAACCAGTGATGAGAGTGATCTCTCTTTCCTCCTTAAAGGCACCACAACTTCAGGGGCCTTCACCCTTCTCCTTTTGTATGGCAACATTTTTGCTCTCAGATCTTGTAAATTATGGTCTGGCCTGTTCTTCATAAATCAATAGTTAACTACATCTTACTTTACAAACTAATAGTATTCAATAACATCAAACTGCAGCCCTATTTTTGTTTTTTTTCCCATTAAGAGTAGTCTTAACGAGTAAAGTCAAGTCCACATTAAGTCAAAAAGAAACATCAAAATAGAGAGAGAAAGTACCTCAATTTCTCCAAAGGCACACATCCAAGATCAATATTGCATATTGGACAACATTCAAGCTCTTCTTGTGAGAGCTTCTTACGTATACATTTCCTGCAGACTGGATTATGTCCAAAAAATAAATTAAAAGTCATCCATTTCTCAGAGTTTTAGTAGAGACTGAAATCCAATACAAGTGACAACATGTATGTTACAAACATAAAAGCAAGTGATATTTTATCCTTAAGAAAAATAGTTTGTATAAACAGAACTGCAGAAGCCAATTACAAGATGCAATATGAAATTTTGGGCACAAGCAATACTAACAAGGGTATACTGCAAAATTAGGGGAATTCAAGATCTTTCCCCCTTTTTCTAACTTCTGCATTTAAAAGATTCGAAAAACAGGATAATGACAGTATGCTGAAATTTTCATCTAGCAAACACAAATTTCCCCAAAACATGCACGTAACAAAAGTTTTTATCAATTATACCAATAAAACAAAAATCAGATCCTCTTGCATCAATCAGTTAGCAATCTTCAGTCTCTAACAAAATCTACTTACATTAAGAATCATGTATGATAATAAATGAAATTATACCGAGATAACCATTAAAAGAACCCAATTAAGAGCTCAGATACCAGAACGCACAAAGTAAAATTCACACTTGATAGCAGTCATGATGATTGTAAGGAGTGAAAATAAGATAAGCGGAAGGGAGAAAACGTAAACAGATAGAGAAATACTTACATGTATGGAGACATTCGGAGATAGTGGTGGCATCCCTGAAGAGCTTGTTGCAGATAGGGCATCTCATGCATGCCGCTATCTCATCTCTTCGTACTTTTACCACCAGATTACTCGACATCTTCAACACGAAACACCTAGCAATTAATCAAACACCTGGTATCCCTCTTCATAAATACCCGCGATAAATCACGTAGTACCTAGAACGAGATGCATGTTAACAACAGTGTTTGGGCAAACACAGGGAACTTACGTAGGTAGTAGGTAATTACACGCATTGAAACGAGATCATAAGCAATTGAACAAACTGGGAGTCACTAACATATTTGCAATCAACACGAGATACACATAGAAACACATGGTTATGGATGTAAAAAAGCGACATACCTTCGATCTAGGGAGATGGGGATTCTGGATTGTGAGATTGAAGAGATTGGCACAAATAATCTGTGGATGAACGACGTGGATTGGTCATTTGTTCACGAATTTGGACAAGAGGCGTTGCTGGATCATCTGTTTACAAATCGAAATCGGGAGTTTAGAGAGAGAGAGAGAGTATAGAGAGAGAAAGAACAGTAGAGAGACTCCTTAATAGCAAAATAGCATGGACCGAACAGTTTATTTGGGTTATATTATTTTTATTTAAATTAGAAAACAAATTTCCATATAACAATGTAGTTTATTAGTTTTAAGTTTTAAACAAATTTTCATTATATAACAATAAATAATATAACTACCAAAATCAGCTTTTCGATCCAGTAAAACATTTTTAACTAATGATTCATCTAATTTTTAATATAAAAATAATTAAAAGTTTAAGACTGTAATCTTCCTTTAAAATTCATATTGGGAGAAAGTAAATAAATAATGCAAGGCTCAGTGATAAAATGCGCTGGCGAGTGAATTATACCCTGCACATCTTCTTTTACAGTTTTACTGTAATGCGGCGACGTGCGATTTCGGACATCGAGTGCCTAATGTGTTGTGGCGCATGTTAGCAACAAGCCTACAAGTGGAATTGAAATTACGACGTGTTGTGTCACACCTAATCATTCACCGCAATATATTATGCTTTCTATGTTTTGTCCGTAATTTAAATTGATAAAATTTCATTAATGGTCCTTGTGGTTTTCGAAAATTGGAAATTTCAGGATAACTTTGAAACATATTATAAGTAATAATCTTGCACTAAGAATGAGCATTTGGATCGAAAAATTAGAACAATTTAGGACTGAATAAGCAATTTCAGTTGGGATCCTCGTTTTGAGATTTGGGCATAATTGGTTTTTGATTTTTTTCGGTCCAGAAAATTATGGACTTATTCGGTTTTCTCAACCGAAATTGGATAATGAATTTTTTTTTTGTTCCTCATTTCGTTGCAACTTCCCAGCAGATTCACACAACACACACACAAATAAAAATAAAAATAAAAATAAAACATTCCAGTCTACTTTTTCAACTGTCGCGTGTCATATTCATTTCATTATGGATAGGGGTGTTCAAAATATCCGAAAACCTAAAAACTATACCAATTTTTAGGTTAACCGAACCGATGTTTTTGACTTTTTCGATTTGGTTAACTGAACAGGTAAATTCTTCGGTTTTCCGGTTCGGTTACGATTCATGCTTTTTGCTATGGATGGTTAACAGAAATTTTATTTTATATTTTTTTAAATATTATTTATGGTTAGACGTTTAATTTAATATCAAATTATTTCTTAGAAATTTTCAATTACAATCGTTAATTGTTATGTTATTTATATTTGCCATCGATATATGTCATCACTAACATTTGTTTTATATATATATATATATATATATATATATATATATATATATATATATATATATATATAAAAGATAAACATTGTCATTTCATCATTTCACACAAAAAACTAAAAATTTACTATCTTTTATCTATTTAGTTGATATTATTTTCTATATTCCACTTTGATAATTCATCCAAATTTCATAATTAACAGAAGCAACAATATAACTAAACAAATTAAATGTATTATTCATTGCAAATTATATGAGGTTCGGTAACCTTAACATATTTTTATTAATTAGTAATGGTTAATTGGATAGCCAGACAACCGAACCGAAAACTCGATTAGCCGAATACCGGTTAACCTGATTTTTCGGTTTAGGTTTATGTTCAAGAAATGAACTAACTGATAGTTTTGGTTAACCTTCCAAAATATGTTTTCGGTTTGTTTAACGATCCATAAACACCACGAGTAGTGTATG